CTTCTCTTATTTCAATCGATCGATTGGCATGAAAGTCCAATTTCAAAATAATTTTTCAAAATTGCCTAAATTCATTTGCCACCTTAATAAAATATTATCCAATTGCATTCTTAACAACCTGACCAACCGCATTTGTCTAACAGATGTCAGCCGTTGTGTAAACCAGCCCAATGAGCCTTTAATGAAATCCCAGTAGTTCGAAATGACACTTTGCCACACTCACACCCGATCAAGTTCGCAGAGATGTAGACGAATTTTTTGTTTGTTGCTGTTGTTGTCCAGTTTACATACTTGATGTGGTTGGAAATGAATTGGAATCCAGAAAGTGGTAAACTGTGCGGAAACTTTTGTAATTTTTGGACATGAAAGTGGGGAGCATTTTCTATTATGTATATACTTTAGATATTGAATTTAATACAAAGCAAGTAAAAAAGTTGTCAGTTCGGCCGGCCGAACTTTGAATAACCTCCAAAATTTCGAACGAATTTGGCAATTCTCAAAAACTATAAAATCCGTTAAAAGTTCTGTTAAAATCTTAAAAATACCGAATGTAGCTGTTATATTAATGTCTATACGACAACGTGGACCTGAATAGGTAACTTTTGTCATAAGTCATTGCAATATTCAAATGCGAAACTTAAAAACAAGCTAAAAACTTAAAAATACCGAATATAGGGAGGTACCGTTATATGGGGGCTATACAAAGAAGTGAACCTGCACAGACAATCTCCTGTCATAGTCTAGAGTATCCATTACGAACTTAAAATACCAAATTTGCAACAATTCCGGTGAATATTGTAGCTAAAATAATCAAAATACCAAATATCGGGAGGTACCGTTATTTGGGGGCTATACCAAAACGGGGACCTATATGGTATATTTTCAATACCAAAAGTCCTGCAGACATAATATACACTTGAGTTAAAATTTATCAATCTACTTCAATTCGTTCAGAAGGTAGAGTGATAGACGGACGGACATCGCTAAATCGACATAGAATTTAATGCTGATCTAGAATATATTTACTTTGTGGGGTCTAAAATGTATATTTTGAGGTGTTACAAACGGAATGATAAACTTAATATAACCTCCATACTATGGTGGAGGTTATAAAAATTTGATGGGAATTACACAGCCGAAAAAATATTCAAGAGTTTTAAACTTTTTTAAAATAATTTTTTTCTGGACTTTTCAACCCACCTTAATGTTGAAGAATTTCTTCTTGTATGGCCATGTGGTGTTACTTGGCTATCAAAATATATATGTATGTATGTGTGTTTTTGCATGTATATGTACATATAAATGTTTATTTGTCATCTCATATATATGTTTGTAACAATGTATGTGTGACTATGATTAATTACTTTTGCATAAATTTACATATACAATTTTGTAACATTGTGCCAAGAGTATGAAATCCAACAAAAACCCCTTGAAATATCAAAGGCAAACCAACAGCCAACAAACGTCCTGCAGCAAAAGGTTGCACAAACTCTTTCACAGTCAGTCTCTTACACCACTACACTGGCTAACAAATTTAACATGCATGTATGTTAAAGTTAGTATATGAATGTGGCGGCATATCTGCGATTGTATGTTTCTAGACCGTCATGATTATCGTTGTCCCTACCGCCATCGTCATCATTATCATACTCATCCACAATATGTATGCATGCAGTAGTGCGGTGGACAAACTCGGAAAAAAGTCAACGGCCATGGCCATGGCATCACTGACAATAGCTGCATCGCTGCTGTGAGTAGCAGTCAGTGCTTTGAAAATTGGTGATGGAGTGAAAATTCGTAATTACATTTGCATAACCGAAAAAAAAAAACGCTGAATTACGCGCCAACTGACATCCTTTTATGGCCGGGCAAAAGTGAGTTTTGCCTGAATTCTCACAAACTGTAAGGGTTTCTTATTTTTTTCCATTTATGTAGAGAAATTTTGTTTTCGGTTCCTTCGTAGTATAAAAGTCGTCATCATCATTCGTTGACATTATGAATTATTTCCATTATTCGTTTTTCCAACAGTGGTTTATTTGTCGTTGCTGCACCGTTTACATATATGCTATATGCAAGTGGAAAAAGAGAGCCACTCACAACCCTAAACAGGAAATTTATTTACACATATTTGACAAATTTTTATGAGAAAATATTTTATGTAGCTTAGAACTATTGTAAAAACACTCAGAAAAAAAATAGTTGAAATAAATAAATATGTTTCAATCAATATGTTCAAAATTGAAAAAAATTTAAAGTAAAAATTTCGAAGGAAACACCATGAAAAACGTTAAAATGTCAATGGAAGCGTTACTATAAATGACTTTTGGTAAACCTTTTCCTAATAAGAGAATAAGAAAACCCAGCCTTCAATTTAGTATTCTGGTAATAAATTTGAAAATACATACAGTTTGTAGATAATAAAAAATATCAATTTCTGGCGGTTCGATATAAGACATCCTATTTATGTTGTGGCTTTAGATGAGGTGTTTATGTTTTGTAAATATTATATATATGAACGATTAATTTCCTATTTGAAAGATTTTTGTGCCAGCTTTTTTCTATCCCAATAAAAATATTTATATGCGTTTGTAAGGGAAACATATTAATATGAGATTTTTTGTACCAATTAGGGACAAAAACATCAATTATTTCTTTTGGGGCCACGAATCCATGTATCCAACTATTTAATTTTGATATCCCAGGAAGACCTTTTGTTGGTAGTATGGCAATTTTTTCCTTTTTTTTCTGAATGTAATCATTTTATATTTCATTTTTACCCTTATTTCTACATGTTTAATTGCATGCAATTTTAACGATTTGCAAATGAATTACAAATGTGATAAAAGTTTCCAAAATGAACAGGATTCAGTGATTTCAAAACAAACACAGTAGACTTGAAGTAGACATGCATCATTATAACACCAACAGTTGTGACATTTAATTTTGCAAAATAAGAATGAGACATTAATTGAAAATCAGAAAATGAGACCATATATAAACTTGTGGCATAATTTGTTATTTTTTCCTGTTTCGTATTTAAGAATTTGTATAAATATGAAGATGTAAGATAAAAATTATACCACTCAAAATTTGTAGAAAGATGCAATGAACACTGAATAATAGTAGCTATGTCTAGAAGTAGCTATGTCTAGAAAATGATTTCGAGCTCAACTGTTAGAAGTTTTTAATTATTACTCAAAGGTTACGTTAGTAAAAAACAAATACTTTAATTTTTACCATTTTTTCCAAAAGTAAAATGAGAATAATTTTTGTATAAAACTAGTTTCCCCATACAAAAGTTAGGTCATAAATACTAAAGAGAAATTAGATGCAATTGTTTTTGAATAAGGCATGTCCGAAAGGAATACTCCAAATATATCCATGCTCAATGAGAAACTACTACCTCAAATAAATTAAAAACGTAAAAAAAAAATTAATAAAACATATTACAATTTCATGAAATTCTAAGTGCAACATACGTGTTTTATGGTTCAACATTAAAGCTTAGATACCAAAGAAGATAAGATAGTCCGCTAACTAGACATTTTAAAATTCTAATGGCAACTTGGAAATTAATTGGGACTGTGAAACAATGAGGAAATTACTATTTTCAACAAGACAAAAAGATTCTAGATTTCTATCAAAAAATAACGAATACATTTTCAAATGATTGAAATTTTATCTGATCGCATAAAAGCGCCACGCAGCAGCCTAACTTTAAATTCCGCATAACTTTGTTACTCACCCATTGTTTGCACAACAAATGCAATCCGACTTTGCCTTGATATCATGTGAAAATTCACTATAATTAAAATTTAAACACTTAATCACATGTAATATCAATGGGATAATAATGATGGTACGTTACTGCCTCCTAAATCAGTTTACTGCTCCCTCCAAGTAAAACTTATTCTCCTTGTATGGAGTTGATATTATTTGTAGTGGGGATTTGTGCCTTGTTTGGAAAACATGCTGCAAGCCAACAATTCCAGTACACATGTTTTCATGCCAGCCAACAACATTCAAACAGTCACTCATTCAGTCACTTATATACCAAGTCAGTCATGTTCACGCACCAAAAAGCTTTAAAGGCAACTATTTATGGAATCTCTGTTCAAGTTACGTGTCTGATTAATGTTGAAGCAAAAGAATAAGAAGTCTGGAGGCCAGATTGCCTGGTTTGCTGGCACTCAGGCAGTCAAGTGGGGCAGCACAGCATTAAAACCAGTTAAAACAAGGCGTTTATTTTATAAAACTTCTTTGGCTTCTGGATTTGAAGTTTGAAATAATTTCAGTTAGTGTTAATTTAATTTTAACAATATGTGAGGAGATTGTCGGTGTCCTACACAAAAAGGGAATTATTTTTTCCTTGTAGGTTTACCTTTTATGCCATGCGTTGGGCAAATAAGAAAAACACATTGAAAAAAGTTAATGAAATCGTGTGCTAAGGATTGAAGGAACATAACGTTGTATGTGGTATGATCTAATTTGGCAAGAACTTTTTATGATAAGACACTAACTTTTTATCAGAGTAAACATCAAGGAATAAGTCATCCATAAATCGACATTGGAATATAAACCTGTTCCTGTCAATTTCCATCCAATTCCAATAGAATAGTCTGGCACGATATAAATAGTGAACCTATGGTAATAATATTTTCAAAATTTTTCAATCAGTGATAATCTTAAATCGAATTACAACCAGTTCTGTGGAACATTATGGTTGATATCTTATAAAAAACCGGAAGGTATCGTTGTATGGGATCTGGGCTCTATTCTCATTCTATAAAAATGTGAAATAAAAATTTTTATTATGAAAATATATCTCAAAATATATTAAAATTAAAATATTAAAACATCGAAATATATTTCTGCGATTTTTATTAAACAAGAATTTTAGCAGAACAATCCATCACCTAGGCTTTAAAACTTATAATTTGTTTTATGTATTTTGTTGTACTTAAATTTTCTGATCAGAATCTTTCTTTTGTTTGCAGGTAATTCAAGACTCTGGATTATTGTGATAAAACGCTTTCGAAATAATATTACAGGTAAAATATAAAACCCAAAATTTCAAGTTTTAATAAAAAAATCCGAGATAATGGACCTCCAATCAATGCGACTATAAAAATATCATATTAATTAATGAGTGCTATAATATTGCCTAGAAAACGCCGCTTATTATTATAAAAACATTATTATTAAGAAAATAATAAGTTTATTCAATGTGTACTGAAAAATTGCCTAGAAAAACCTACCATATTTCTTAAAATAAGAAATCACGCGCAATACATAGGCGCCCCACACCCACAACATCGGCAAACAATTGATTAGAATTAACAAACAATGTACCAGTGCTATGCCTACCAAAAAGCAATGCCATAAAAAATCCACACTCACTTATTCGCCGAGATAGGGTAAGTGTGCCTAAGTTCGGCATGTCCCAGTAGTCGGCACTTTTTATTTTTAAGCACAAATAAATGAAACTATTATAACTAAATGTATTTTGTTTACTTCAAAATATATTGTCAGCTATCTTTGTGCACAATTTTGCTAAGAAAATAAGAATTATTCTAATAAAAATTAAATTTTTGTCTGTGAAAGTCCTCAACAATTCATATTCTTAAGAAAAGTACAATAAAGACGTCGAATAAGTTTAACTAAACAAAACTATTATATTTTAGTGAATTAATTTATTATTATTATTAATTATTCTTACAAAAAATTGGTATGCCGACTGTTGGAAAATGCCATACCGACAATTGGCAAGTGGTGCCGACTACTGGCAAAAAAGCATTGTTTTAATAAAACTACAAATTTATGAAATTTAATAAAAAGTAATTAAAACTTTATTTATTATTGCAAAAACTATACAAAATTTCGAATCTGAATAAATTAACTTTGTAATAATTGAAATGTTCCATCCAAAATGGTGAGCGATTAAAAACGCGAAAATCCTAAAAGTGCCGACTACTGGTACACTTATCCTATTTGAAATCCTTTTTTAAGCCAAAGTAATTCATTAGACACTCACCACTCGGCATCGTGACAAACAAGTGGCGTGGCTGTTGAAAATGAGTTTGTTAAAACGGAAAAACTAATTTTGTAATTAAAAACTCATATAACAAACGTATGCCGCCGCACACACACACAGACAGAAATCTCAGAGTGGAGTGGAGAACTCGTTTGTCAGCAATGTTTTGTTTTTCTTCCTTTACACTTACGAACAAGTTTCCAACAAATAGGTATTGTATGTATGAGTGTACATACATACACATTAACACATAGCATTTTTCTGCTTTTAGCACTCATCCTTATTAAAATATATATGCAAACTCATATATCAACAACATTCATTTACCCCTTTACTCCCATTTGTCTTAAAGGGTTAACATTGCCTAAAAGTATGCAATACATTGTGATTGTATTTAAAAATCATGCAACAAAAATTTAGGGCATGGGTACATCATCACCATTTTACAAATTCAAACCTTAAATAAACTTAAATTAGCAGTCGGGGTAAAAGTAAAATTTTGTCTGTCATTTTGTCTCTTCGCCATGTTCGGGCGACGGTATGAGTAAGGCTGTATGTGTCACAATATGTTGTTGGCTGGGCTGAAATGATTTGGTTGTTTTATAATAAATGAGCTTTGAGGTTTAAAGGCGTATGCCTGTCTAGTAAATTAGCAAAATACACGCATACAAGCAACAAAATATCCCCTCCCCAAGTCTTAGATCTCCCCATAGTAATGTTGTCGTTGTTGCGGGCAAAGCAAAGAGAGATTTTTCTCTCTAATAAACTTCCTTTACCACACAGGACTTGATTGAGTCGAGGCTTGTTGTGTTTCACTGTCATATCTTTGTACACCACACATTTGTTGAGGGCTTTAAATTGGTCAGAGTTGAATTTTGTGAGGGGGTTAGGTAGTAGTTAGCAGTTCACTTTGTACGGATGGCAAAAATGTCTGTATTTGATAAAATGAATTTTAATACTAAAGCAAACGATGTGCCCAAAAGTTTTGCTCCTTTTTCCTCCCTGTCATTCGAAGAAGCTGTTTGGCCCTTCCAGTAAGGGGTGTGTGTCGGTTTGTTTGTTAGGTTTATTCTTGGCCATTTGTCGCCGTGTGTGTGTGTTTCGGCGTTGGTTGCTGAAACTACTGCTGTATTTAAATTATGTTTTTGTCATACACATGTTGGATGCCAAGGTCATTCGAAATTCACCCCTGGTGTAAATATTTGCTACTGGGGACCAAATAAGCCATTGAGCTTTGAGTATTTGCCCAACTGCAGCTCAGAAAGGGAAGGTAGGCATGCAGGCATCATGTTGGAATTAAAGGCTAGTATCCTTTAAGTTTTGTCTGCAGGACTAAAAGAAGTGTTTGCATAGATTTATGTTTTATTTCGAGTACATATTTTACTCATAGTTAGTAATTGTGCATGATTTTTGGGGAATGTGAAGTTTATTTTTTATCTGAACATAGATCACGTTAGAAAATAGACTGAATTGATCTGTTATTTTTTAATTAATTCATTTTAGTAATTTTGTGGCGTTAATCATATGTTCCAACTTGATTAGGTTTAATTTTGTATTTTCTGATTGTGTTTATATCTAAAAAAAAACTCTTAGATATTGGTTGTGAGGCATTTACTCAATTGTGTGTAGAGATCCAAATAAATAACAGTTAGCTAAAAACGTGTTATATCTGTAAATTTTTTGGGATTGAAAATGTATTGATATCGGCCCTCCGTTTTGGAAACCCCTTATAGCGGTACTTACTTTAGGTAGGTCAACTTAAAAAAAAATTAAATGAGTTCACCTTCTAATATAGGGTCCAATATTGGAATCTATTTTAAACTATTTTAAATTGTCTGCAATCTGGTACTCAAGTTATTGATGGGTACCTAATATATTTATTAGAAATAGTTGATATCCATGGGTCCAGGTTTTATATAACTTCCATATAACGACACCTGACGTATTTATAATTTTTTTATTTGAGATTTTCGAAAATTTTTAAAACGGAATTGTCTGTATTTTAGAACTAGAAAATGGGCGCATAAACCTCGGGACGAAACTTTTTAATGGATATTTAACATACAAACACACAAGTTCGATATAGGTCCACATCACTATATATTTCTAACATTAAATTTAACACGATTAAATCGGAATTTCCATTCAGGAAAATTAACACAAATAATTCGGATAGGGAGAATTTCCCTTGGCTCATGGGACATTAAGAGTTATCAATTGACATTTAATTTCTCGTCAGCCTGTCATTTCAGCATATTTCGTCCGATTTCAGGTCTTTTAAACCACTTTTCATGTTAAACTTGTTTTGGATTTTGAAAGTTTAATATTTGTTTTCTTTTGTACCATTTCACTGGTCTAGATTAGTTTCCACTTTTTAGCAAAATTGGATTGTTTCACTTTAGAAGTGTCATAACGTCATTTTGGATTGTTGGATTATTTCACTTTAGAAGTGTCATAACGTCATTTGCCTGGCAGAGCTGTAAAAATACCCTCAGACAGTTTATGGTAGGAGTTGTGATAAGAAAGTGCCTACCTGTTTCATAGCCGGACAAACTTATTTCCACAAAACGGCAAATAATTACAATACCTCATTGTGGTAGTATCAAGTTTTTAATTCTTTTAAAGAAAATGTCAACAAGTTTTGTCCTATTTCTGGACTTCTGAACATTTCACGAAATTGTTAGTGGAATTACATACAATATTACAATTTGTAAACTTATGTATTTTTAATTCCAGGCTATTTGTAAGAACGACTTTCTGATTTTGAGAAACATTATCATTTGTACATTCCTTAAACATATGCTTTTTTGTTATGTATATTATTAGGAATATGAAGACTTTTATTAGTTGTATCATGGTTTTGAATAAAAAAAGTTCTAAACTTCATCAGTCAATAAGACTTGGGAAAATCATCACTTTTCATTATGTTTATATATTACATCCATTTGACATCCATTTCAGGCTCTCATATAAATTCAGATCCCCTATATTTTTGTTATTTCCTACATATTTTTAAACATTTCTCAGAAGCGTGGGTGTAAACGTATGGGGCGGTTTAGATGTGGTTTTGAAACATCCAATACTGAAAACATTTCATTCCAAATTCCAATAAATTTTCAACATATTGCTTTTGATAGATAATTTATTGTTAGAATTCCAAGAAATCGATTCATTGACCATGGTTGTATTTCCTTATCACCAAAAACCTTCATTGAAAATTTCATGTAGGAAAAATTCCATCTTATATTGTTGTACATGTGTGTCTATTTTTATATATTTATGTGGATATTCAACAAATATATTTTTTTTTGAGATTCTTCATTTTAAGTGTTTTATGTAGTTTTTCTCCATTTCCAATGATAGGTTCATGCTGTAATAAATCAATGTCATGTTTTTGTTGGTTTTTGAAACACACCATCTTGACACTTTCTCTTTTGGGGCAGATGCTCTCATTGTGTATAGGAAAAAAGGCAAAGAAAAAATGGTTCTTCGCCAAGAAAACTGTATATGTTTTCACATTTTATTTATTTATAAAATATCATCATTCTGGGTGTCCTTGTTCATTAACAACTAAGGAAGATAAATAAATTCTCCATTTTAATCTTTATTTTTGTGTTCGACAAAAAATTAAGAATAATTAAATTTATAAATAAAATCTTGCTTTAACTACACAACATAAACGAAAAAGGCCAAAGACGGAAATGACAGGGGGAGGGATAGAATAACGCATTCTCCGAAAATATAAATCCAAAAACATTCAAAACCTCCTTAAATTGAGGCTATCACTCTTCCTTCTTCTTCATGTACACATATATACTTCTTTACCAAATTCTATCAGTATGCGAACTAGATCTTTGATGTTTCAATTTTTTTTTGTTTCATTTCATCTTTGCATTTTTTGCATATCTTAAACATCAATCACTGGCGGTATTTGTATACAAGTTACTGCATGTCTGTCTGCGGCGTTGGCGGCTAAATCACACGCTCAATACAAGAACTTTAATGCAATCAACGGCA